GTGAAGGAGCTGTGCTCAGTGAAGGGGCTGTGCTCAGTGAAGGGGCTGTGCTCAGTGAAGGGGCTGTGCTCAGTGAAGGGGCTGTACTCAGTGAAGGGGCTGTGCTCAGTGAAGGGGCTGTGCTCAGTGAAGGGGCTGTGCTCAGTGAAGGGGCTGTGCTCAGTGAAGGGGCTGTACTCAGTGAAGGGGCTGTACCTAGTGAAGGGGCTGTACTCAGTGAAGGGGCTGTACTCAGTGAAGGGGCTGTGCTCAGTGTTGATGCCCTAACACCCCTAACTATATAACAAGAAGCCATAGGTGACAATCCTCCGTGAAATTTTATATTTTGCAACAAAAATAATCCCAAGCGTCAACGCCAGACCTACTGTTCAGACATTAGGCAATGGTTAATACAATGAGGGCGCGTCACAATGATAAAACATAAAAAGACCCAAATCCATTACTGCTCCCAGGGCGTGTAAAGATACTGTGCTTCAAGTTCGAAGTTTATTTTAATTACACACACACAATCATTGCATTCACATAAAGATCGGACTATCATTATCTATCATGGTCGTGTCACTAGTAACAAAGACAGCCCCACCGTCTTACCGTGCCTGTTACTTATTAAGCGCGACTGGCCATGCCAAAGTCCAGCAACAGTTGCGTCCAGCACGCGCGAGTGTTACTGCCGCCGGTCAGATACCCGGGCAAAACCATTTCAACGACATTGTAGGGATGTTTCAAAAATAAGCATTTACTCCAATATCAAAACTGCTAGGGTAAAAATAAAAAGACGTGCATCACCACGGGTATAATGGCACACCACATGCCAAATTACACAGAAATGCTACGTACGGAACAATGCGTTTTGGCTGCGAACATCTATGGTACCACTTATCGACCCTCCGCACATCTGCATGAAGTTCCACCCCCCCTTGCTATTCCAAACAACGCGTTTTTCTGGACCATTCCAATTCGCCTCGTAATTGTAGGGGTGCATCTGCAATATTACATTGACCGCGAAAGCAGCAACGGCAAAAATACACATTCGTGCATCAACACGGGCGTGCCTTCAGACGGCGTATACAATTGCGTGCCGATTACACAAAGAGAACCCAGTGTTTTGACTGCGAACACGAAAAACCAGCCGTTCACAACACTCCGTCCGGAGGTCCTGACCTCCTTCACGGAGTAATAAAAGATATCGCACCATCTCTTGCAATCAGGGCCAACAGTCCTACACAATTTATCCAACAACAGGGTTCAAAATAACAATCATGAACGTTCAAGATGATTGTTATAAAATAGAGAAATGAATGACGACCTTCATTAGGCATTTTGCCACACTTGGCTTATTCACAACAAAACAAGACGAACAGATACAATTAACAGATACATACAAAAAGGAACTATCGTCATGATAGTAAAGTAGTTACCATTCACATCATCTTTCATGATTTGAACCTTATATTGTCTTTTACATTTAAATATCTACACCTGATGAAAGCATGTGTATCACGAACTCTAGTTGTATTAAACGTTGCATGTTTTCTATTCCATGCCTACAGAGTACGTGGGAGTGGGGTCCCACAGGACACGGCGCTGTACTACTCGTCAACAATGACAACGACGACTTCGAAGAAAACTTTGATCCCGATCATAAAAACAGTAGGATTGACGGACCACTAGGTAGGTCAGGTTCGACTTCTACAAATGCTGTTTCCACATTTGAATATACATCCAATTTTTGGACAGCAAATGTAAATTTTTCCTAATTCTGTCAGCCTTCTCTTAATGTTGTCTTCATTATTTTATGACGCTCAAACCCATCTTATAATCTTCTGAAGAAAAGTTATAACATGTTTGGTTTTGATGAAGAATTTTCACTCTTAATGAAATAAAGACTAAGCTTTAACTTCCAACACTTAGATTACAGAATTGGGACTTACCCACAAATTTTTGGTTGACTCCATCAACCTTGTTCACGGAATGGACCCTTCTACTCTTGGAACTTGACGTCAGAGACACGTGACCGTAATAGCGGGTCATTCCGTGAACAAGGTTGGTGGAGTCAACCGAAAATTTGGGGTAAGTCCCAATTCTGTAATCTAAGTGTTGGAAGTTAAAGCTTAGTCTTTATTTCATAATGGCTTGTACCAACACAGAAGAACTTAAAAATTTATACTAATTTTCACTCTTTTCATCAGATTTGAAGGACATGAGCCCGATGGTTGTGCGCATGCGTGGACCACCGAAGCTTCCGTCGGACTTTTCTATCAGACTGAGTACACCGCCGGAAACAGCGGACAAGATCGGGATGTTCTGTCTACAACCTGACGGTGGGGAGATATATCTGTCTGTCTAGATATTCTAGTCATGTCGGTTAGACGTTTGGTCAATAATTCTATGATATCACAGCTACCATTACACGCGCGCACACATACACACACGCGCGCACACACACACATACGCACACGCGCGCACACACACACATACACACGCGCGTGCGTACATACACATACATGTGCACAGTGACACACATGAACTTAACACGCAATGAAATATAACGTGCTTTCAAAAATTAATAGTGATTTAATCCGAATCGCTTATGCAAAATATTCTCAGACGCAAGTTTTCTTACCGCTTAGCATACATGGCAGTAATGTTACTTGAATGTACGATTGCGGTGACCTCATTTCGTTGCATGCTTGCTTATATATTTTGTAAAATTGAAATGATTGCTTTTTTAACATGTAATTTCCTAAATGTTTCAGAAATATGTACTACTCATAAGATAAATTGTTTCATAAAATAACTCTTTATATCCTTTTTCATGATAAGATCAAGTAACTTCGATTCCGTCCATTACTGCACTACTAACAGAGCACTCGTCAAGAAAAAGCAATATATGACTATGCAAAAGACTACTATACATATTACTAATATTAATCTGAATGGTTGACACTAAAACCTCTCAAAGAGCTATTACATCTATTTGAAATTCACACTTAACCAATACCCCCCTCCCACCATTAACAAGTTCCATTTCTCATTTAGTTTTTGTTGGTCTTAACGCGTCTTTGGTTGGACACAAGACATATTTGACACCTAAAAATACTTTTCAATCCCTTCACTAGAATCAGCCCGCCTTCTTTTCTGGGATATCAAAATATATTTCTTGTACATCTTAGTTATTAAGAAGGACAGAAGGTTGGAAGATCTGTCCAAAATGCTGAACGAATTCTTGACAAAGCCTGAGGAAGAAGCTCCTGATATCGACATTGGGCTTGTGGAGATGCGAGACCAAATAGGAAACCTGATAGAAGACAAAGGCAGAGACGAGCCACCGAGACAGGAAGGTAAAGCCATACAGATGTCGGAGAACTCTCAGAAGACGTCATCGTCGTGTCTTCTTGGCGTGTGTTTCTATGACTCCTTCACCATATAGTACATGTTTAGTGTTACAGTATTATTATGGTGTCTGTAGTTTCGGTGTCGAATTTTATTCATCCCCCTTCATGCATCTAGAACAACTCAACGTTTCTCGTGTTGTTTCTGGATGTATTTCTGTTCTGTTGCTTTTCGTGTATCTTCGTCTATGTTTGACACGTATACTGCCCTGTATGGTCTTATGGATGCATTGTATTCATTCAACACTTCTCCCTAACGCGGTTTGTCCATGTCACTCTACAATACATATTATACTAACATCGCTGTTGTTTTCAGTGTACATGGACATGTGTGTCCATTTCTTACTCATCGACCATGTCCTCTTACCCTTTGTAGTTTAGATTAGATCTGTCTCCATGTACATTGTCAACGTAATCAGGGTTTGTTCTGGTCCAACCCCCCTTTGGCACAAATATGGCCGTCCTTGCCTTTCCACTACTATCCATTCACCCACGTGCACCACGGCTTTACGTCTCTGTTAATCAGACCTGGTTCATGTTCTATATGTGGTACAGATATCGTCTGTGACTGACTATCTGAAGCTGCAGTTTCATGTTTTGTCGCTAGATGGATGTTTTATACTGCTCACACCTTGTACAGCCTTACCGTCATTTCTCCTTCTTCCTTGGTTGGGGTGTACGGAGAGGGGTCGTGCTCTGTAGACTAGACCCGTAGAATAGTCTGTAGAGTAGTCAACCCGTAATTGGACCTGATTATAAGCGTTGCTTGATGCACCTTATAAACTTCAGTTTGGATGTACGTCTCCCTCGATGATAATCGCCGTCAAAGTCTTTATCACCCCTAAAAATAAAACATTCAAAATTTGATTCAATGTGCCCACGGCCAATGCAGTTTTTAGGGCTTAGAAATATGTTTTATTTAAAAAGTCACAATTCAACTTATTATCGATGTAATAAGTTGAATCAACTCTATCCTGATGTATGGCAACATTCATTGAGCAAAATGTCGAAATTGTGACTGAAAACTGGCCGGAGTTGGTCCAGTGTTTGCCACAAACAGTTCCCTCTACCGGACCAACTCCCCTGGCATTATCTCTCTATTTGGCCGATTTCTACTCTATCCAGACGCCCCCCGAAGCCTGGTAGAGGCTAACTGAAAACAGTGAAAGCACGAACAATGAATTACACGGAACCTTTTGCTTTCTCGCAGATACACCATTGAAGAGTGAGAAACACATCATAGGACCGGACACAGGCAATGTGGTGGAGTTAGACTACCGTGTGGACCTGAGAGATAACACTACCACGTACGAGTTCGCTGTGGAAGGACTACACTATCCTGACATCACGTTTGATGGACAGGTGTCAATCACCCTAACACTGCAAAGGGTGAGTTATTGTTTGTTTATTGTTTATTTCAGTTTGCACATAAAAATTAAAACAGTTTGTAATGAATTTGTACAACCAAACGCGCGGGAGAACCAAAGAAACCTAAGGGTTTATCGAGTGGGTTCTCCTAAAATCCAATTGTTTTTATGACCTCTTTTTACACACGTGTATAATAAATAAGTGACAACGAAACAAACAAATTAAATCAAAATAGATACAAAATAATATAAAGTTAACACGACGAACTAACTTGCTAACTAATTGACTAAACAATAAAGTAAGACTATCAAAAACATGTCAAATTGAACAAGAAAAAAGTCCATTAGTCAAATCATAAGTTATTATGCATAAGAGCACAGGATAAACATAAGAAAGCAATATCAACACAAAATTAAATAAAGTAGCATATTATGTATCCTATTACATCCTGGTATTTTCCTAATGTTACGAAATATTTTACTTCCCAAACCGTCAGCTCTTTTTTTTTAGCTTTGCACACTTGCACCCATTTTAGAATTCCAGGCACTGAAGAACAATCTTCCATTTTTGAAAGTGAGAGATTTTGTATTTACGACTTAGCCTGGCCTTATTTTACAGGGACGAGGCTCCCCCATTTTTGAAGACACGGTGGTTTTCCAAGTTGCCCCCTGGATCATGACACCCAACACACTTCCTCCGTTAGAGGTAAGTATCTGTATCGGTATCGGTATAGCCGGTATAACCGCCCTTCGGCGTAACACACCAGCTAAAGTAGTCACAACAATAGCAGTATCGCGCGTATCTCATCAATATATATGAAATCGAATGAACATGGCCTAACATAAATGACATTTTATGACATATTCTTATTTTTTTCTTGAAACATATAATGACAAGACGCGGTGGCGACACACTCAAGTTACACTTATATTCATGTCGCCACCAGACAATACGTACTGTAATACATACGACAAGCAAAGCACAAAATTAACATATAGAAGTTGTATGCAATAATAAATCGATGAACAAGTGAAACTGATATAAATGCTGACAGGATTGATAAAAAAACAATGTTACAAAAAACGATTTGATTCCAGCAAAAATACCTGTACATGTTGTAATATTTGAATATTGTATATTGTTGAGAAAAAAGAGGAACCTCTTAAAAGTAAATATTCTTATTTGAAAACTTGCTGTATTCTCAGGCGTTCGTGTGTGAAATGGAAGGTGGAGAAAACCTTAGCTTCATCCAGGAGCTGCAGGAAGTGACGTCAGCGGCCAGCGTGCCGTTAGTCATCGTGCCGCACGTGGACAACAGGGGGGACAGGTGGATGCAGGTAGGGCGACGCCATTGCTATCCCACACTGCCTTGCGGAAATTGTCCATGAGTCAAGTCAAGTCAAGTCAGGCATCCAATGCGATTTCAGGGCAGCAATACTGGAAATATTCTCAATAAGGCAATCTTTGTGATATTGACACATACTTCTTCATATTGGCCAATTTGAGTCAGCATTTCATAATTTTGGCTTTTAAAACTGCAGAAACAAGCCCCAAGATGAGTCCTTTATTTTCTGGGTGGAACCCTAAAAAGCAACCAAGGGCTTCCAGTAACCATTTTCCGTCAGAATTTTGGGAATTTTTGCTCCACGAGGGCCAAATATACATTGGGATGGTGTAGTTTCATCTTAGTATGTAGATAAATGAGTACAATATTGGCTCTGAAAAATTGGGTTTCCAAGCCCTAAAAACTGCACTGGATGCCACGTAAACTGGCGCAAAGTCACGTATTTCAAGATTATTAACAACCATGGCAAC